AGGAAGATCAGGAATTTGATTTCGGATATGCACATCAGACACAGAAGAGAGACTGGATGGCAGGTGGAAATACATAATCTGTTAATTTGGAAGAAAGGCTTGGGCCAAAGATATGATCTTGGTTTTAGTTGACTTATAATTGATATTTAAAGCTATTCAACTGGATGAGATCACCAAGATAAAGAAGAGATGAGAACTGAAGACTGAGCCCTGGGATGGTCCAACATTAAGGAACTGGGAAGAAGAGCAGGCAAAGGAGACTTGAGAAGGAACACTAGTGAAGAATGAGGAAAACCAAGCGAGTTTGGTTGTGGAAGCCAAATGAAGAAGGTATATGAAGGAGCAGTGGGTGTTCAGCTATGGCAAACACAAATGTTAGGACTGTAAGATGGAAGGCTAAGAGATGACCACGGACTTAGCAACGTGGGGGTTATCAGTGACCCTGAAGAGGAGTTCTGACAGAGTGGTAGGGTTGAGAACACTCAAATGTCTCACTGACTAAATAAGTCACCACATTAATGCACTACTAATTTTTTCTTCTAGACACATCTTCGAGCCTTCTCTTTCACTCGCCCCCAAGTCCAAGCAGCTGCTTTGTCTTACTGATTCTACTTTCACAAACTCTCTCAAAATGGTTTCTCCTCTCCCATCCCACAGCTTTGTCCTAGTCCACTTCTTTGAAGAAGGAGTTACGAATCAATAAAGAAACATTAGACTTTTAATAAATGATTCTGGAACACCCAGTTATCCATGTTAAAAAAAAAAAAAGATACCAACCTTAAGACATACACAAGTTCTAAACATGAAACATAAAACTTTAAAACTGATGGAAGAAATGTAGGTCATATGTTTATGACTTTGTTTATTAAAGATTTCTTTGATACAAAATTCAAAGCCCATAAAGGAAAAGATTCACGCATCTGACTAAAATTAAAGACACCATTAACAAGTGAAAATAGTAGCCTAGGAGAAAATATTCGCAACACATAGAACCAACAAGTGGTAGTATACAGAATTATAAATTTATTTCCTTCAAATCAAACAGCTTCATAGAAAGAGGGAAAGGAAATGAACAATAAATTCACAAAGAAGAACCAAAGAAGCCAATAAACCTTGCGAAGATACTCGATTTCACCAGTAATCAGGAAAATATAAATTAAAACTACAAAGAGATACTATTCATATCCATGGGATTGGTTAAAAATGTAAAAGTCTGACAATAGCAAGTGTTGATAAGGATGCAAAGCACTGGAAATTCTTACATACTGCTTGGCATGATCACTGTGGAGAGCATTTGACAATATCTAGCAAACCTAAGAACATGCACACCCTACGACCCCAGCAATTCCACACTAACACAGCTAGGGTATCTAATGGAATCCTGGTTAAAGTATTACATGTGCACAAAGAGATATGTACAAGATTATCCTTATAAACGCTATTTGTAATCAGAAAGAGAAACAAGCCAGATCACCAACAACTAAGAAAATTTAAATAAAAAGTAGTATATTGTAGAATGTACTACTCTTCAGCAGTTTAAATGAATAAGCTAGACACATATATAGCTATAATTTCTAAGTAACCATCAAACGAAAAAGCAAGATGCAGAAGAACATATACATTTGTATATAAATATATCATTAGTGAAAAGTTTAACAACATGCAAAACAATATATGTTGTTTATAGACATATAAAGTAAGGGTGTTACATACGAACTTAAGATAGTGATTAACATTGAGGAGAAAGGAAGGGAATAAGATTGGGAAGGGAACACAGTTCGATTATATATTTTTTTTTCTTAAGTTCAATAGTAGCACATGGATAAATTATTCTGTATATTTCTGTATGCTTGAAATTAAAAAACTACTTTAATAAAATCAACATACTGCTAAAGTATGAACTTTCTTTTTTTTTTTTAAGATTGGCACCTGAGCTAACAACTGTTGCCAATTTTTTTTTATTTTTGCTTTTTCTCCCCAAACCCCCCAGTATGTAGTTGTACATTCTAGTTACAGGTTCTTCTAGTTGTGGCACGTGGGATGCCGCCTCAGCGAGGCCCAATGAGCGGTGCCATGTCCGTTCCCAGGAACCGAACCAGCGAAACCCTGGGTCGCTGAAGCGGAGTGCACAAACTTAACCACTCAGCCATGGGGCTGGAGCCAAGTATTAACTTCTTAAACCTGGCATTCAAGACTCTCCACAATATTATCCCAACTGCCTCATGCTTCTCTATTTCTTACAGCAGTGTTTTCCAAGCCTTAGACATTTTCATACTTCCTTCATTATTTTTGCTATGTATGCCATCTCTATTATTAACGGATATTTTTCTTTTCATAATTTTTAGCTTTAACAGCCTTGAACAAATCAATAATAAATAGAAAGTCACATGTTTAATATGCTAGTTATATTTTTCTAATGTGAATATAAAAAAATATATAAGTATTAAAATGTTTGTCCTAGTGCCATCTAGAAACACCAAGCATCACACTCTGGGTGCACTGTCTTGCACCAGTGGTTCTCAAATTTGGTGTACACGATTATTTGGGCAGCTTGTTAAAAACGGAGACTCCCAGGCCGTACCTCTAGGGATTCTGATTCAGGCAGTCGGAAGACAGAAATCCTGCCCTTTATGTGTCCTTGGCACCTACCAGATTGGACTATTTGCCATTCTCTAGACAAGCTCTACATTTTCCTTTTCCTGTACCTTTCCTCTTGTTACATCCTCTGCTGGAAGTACGCCTCCTTCTCCCTAAGCCAATAGACATTAAGCCTACATTTTAGGGCTCATATTAAACATCACCATCACAATAAAGGACTTTGACTTTGATGCGACATCCTTCTCATTTCAGTACCCTTCCCTCCCCTATCAATTTTATATATCTGTATGGATGCTTATCACATTCAATGTAATATATGTCTACTTGTCTTACTCCTCCTCCTGGACTAGGAACACTAGTTGAGGGTGGAAGCCTTATACTTGTTCAAAAGTAGGCATTATGGCTTGGTCATTTTATGCTTTCAACATGACGGTTACTCAGATACTTGCTGAACTGAGCTCTGCTAAACACTCTGAATTAAACAATTTTTATTAACATTTCAAACATCATATACCATAAGGCAATAGAATATTCATTCATACAGCACTGCAAATTAAACATGAGAATTTGGACTACTCAGCTTCATTTTCAGAATGAGAAAACTGAAAATATATCCTACTTAGAAACAAATAATTTTAGTTGTTTTCATTTTTAAAGAGAAAAAAATAACAGTTTAACTAGCCAAATTTAGTTTCTAAGAAGAAAAGGAAAATTGCTTAACTTAAAACCTTCCAAGCAAAAGTAAATGATTAAGTTATTAATTGACAAAGTGAGTTTTGATACTGCTACAAAAAGCAATTAAGAACAAAACTATTATTAAAGCAAAGTTAACTGACTCTGGCAAAATTCTCAGTACTTCCAAATGATATTTCAATATGCTTTCTCTTTGTTTTAGTGTTGCACATTACCCTGATGCAGCAAGAGGAATAATCTCTAAGCATTTTTCCCATATAAAAACCATAATAACCAGCAGTATAAAAACCATAGAAACTATTTGTTTTTAATCAGAAAGTATCAACATGCAATTCATTTGTGAATCTTGTATTTTCAATTTGGTAATAATAATTTGGTTTGTTTCTATTCCAGGAGTAGACTCTTCTAAACATACTTATTTTAACCTACATAGAAAATAAACTAATGCAAACAGAAATGGGACTTTTTAATGGAATATGTTCATCAACATCAATCTATATTACAATATCATCTGGATTTGTATATGTCAGCATATACATGATACTTTATAAAGACAGATAATCGTCAAACTAAAATATACAAATGTACATACTAATTTCAAGTAATAAAAAAAGGAAAAAAATGGAGAATAGGTATTTTTTATGTTCACTTAGCCTTCTAGGTTGAAAAGGAGAATGAAAAGATGACAATTGTGAGAAATAAGGAATAAGGAAAGGTTCTCACACAGCTCATTTTCTCCTCTCCTCATTCATTTTTCTGTCATGCTCCTGTTAAATTTCCTCTTTTACAGGCAGGTCAAGTAAACGAAACATAGCTTATATGAAAATTTTTATTTAACTTTTTCATTCTGTTTTTACATTGTAAAAATAAAATTTCAACCCACTATGTCCATTTTCCTGAATAAAATTAACTGGAAGCAAATAAGGTACTATCATATGGGAGCTCAACCTAAGAATTCCCCGAAATGATTCTAGTATTGGTTTTATTTACCATAAAATGATAACCTATAATTATTGATACTGATAAGACAGCCATCCAGTTATGCTTACTTCCTAAATAAGTAATCTTTTTGATTTTCTAAAGTAATAAATGTAGGCAGAACTTAAAGCTCCATAAATGTTTTAGAAGTACTCAAGAACCAGAAAAATGCAGAAGTTCAAAGGTAATGAGAAGACGTTAAATAACCCCATTTCAAAGATACCGTAAGCGGAATAGATCAGATTAAACAAGCTTATTGGGAAGTAACAGCACAGCTTATTTGATAAAGCAGTTCTGAGAAACCCAAAAATACCATTTCTCTTTTAAAAAAATCAAAGAAGAACTTGGACTAACAAGAAATAATGCACAATTTGGCTTGATCAAATACTTCATTAATTTTTTTCTACCCTCTAAGGTATTGCCCTTTTAAAATCCTCTTCAAATAAAATATAACCTAATTGCTTGCACACGTCTTCAGTTGCAAAGGGATTTTCATTTCAACAGTGCCACCTAGTGGAGCAAGCAATACTTCCAACTGGTGACTAGCTGATTTCACTAGTCTCAAAGGCAGGAATTTCCAAATCGTTTTATTTTCTGGTTCACAATATTCCTAATAATATTAACATTCAAGGGGAAATTTACAAAAGTGTCATAATTTATAGATGTTTGTCTTCTGATAGACTATTTAACGAGGTCATTTACAAATATTATAATACTTTAAATAAAGATACCTTTGTGATTTCTTCAGAAGCTCGTTTGAAGTCCTGAACGTTTCGACAGTAAAATCCAATTGTACAGCTAGGATCCATTTTTCGAAATGACATCTTTTTGGGAGAAGGGCAGTGGAATGTCTGTAATTTTAAAAGTTTTTGAGGATTAATTTAATCTTATTTGATGGACTTAAGTATATAGAAGAATATTACTTAATTGGAAATCTGCTATCTAGCTTTTCTCAAAACTATAAACATGCTTTCAAATAGTGTTTTAGTTAGTCTACCCTATGCAGATGGTCCCTCTCACTGTTCAAAGCTGTAAAATATGAAAGCCAACATTGTGTATATTCAATTCACCCAATCGCCACCTTATGCAACACTAGTGCCACTCTGCAAAAGAAAGAAGTATGTGAAAAGTGGTATCCATTTCTAACACTTGCAGAAGGGAAGAAAAGCGTACCACTGAAAAAGACATGAATAAGCTAGCACAAAGTTTAGAATCAAGTTAGTAACTTCCACAAAAGTGCAATTAAATATGTTTCGTTAGAGATTTTATTAACGTTTATAAACCTTTATAAGAAGAATATCAAGACTTTGTAAACAAATGCACAGATTCATGTACATGTTCTATAATGATATGAAACTTGCAAGTTTCAGCAACTGACACAATTAGCACATAAGTGCACATCCTCCCAGACCGCTCTTCTGTGGTACTTTCCTTCAAGTTCTGCTTGGTGCCCTAGAGGACACAGGTGAGCAGCTCTCCTCCGGCCCTTGCCCTCCTCCTCACCACCTCCTGTCCTTCAGCCCACTTTGCTCGAGTGCCCACAGAGCCACAGAGAGATGGCCTGGGAGGCTGCTCTAGCCTCTCCACTCTTGCTAATGGGATGTGGCTGCTACTAGAGTCTGGTATCTTTGGAGAAAATAAAAGTAGGAATGGGCAGAATATAAAGCTAATCACTCCAATATTTTTTTTCTCCATTACATTATATACTTTATTTAAAAGATTTTTTTAAACTGCTTTTGATATCTTATCCTTAAAAATCACTGAAGCTACCAAGTCTTTTTTTGTATGTATATAAAATTTTTATGTAAAGAAGGAGGGCCGTAAATATATATAAATTCATATTTGTTTATATTTGCATAAATAAAGTCTGTAAAGATATACAAAAATTAACAAGTTTAGGGGAGAGGTAGAAAACTGGGCATACAGGAGACAGGTGTGGGAAATTCTTTGTTATATACTTCATATTTTTGAGTTAAAAAACAAGCTCATTAAGAAATAATCTAGGCTGAATTTGAACTCATAAACTTAAAATTTCCCTACATTTAATGCCTAAAACTAAGAGATTTTAACTTGAAATTATCTACGAAAATGCAAAAAAAAATAGGCTTTTATACTTGCTATGTTCACGGTGAATCAATCAAAATCACTCTTTTCTCTCCCCCTACGTCTCCGTGATGCAATTAGTGGCCCATATTATCACCAGAGGATATGCAGAATGCACACAGTCAAGCTGCTTTTCTCCTTATGGATAGTTCAATCCAACATCATGACAGCAAATATAGACCAAACAAAAGTGTTTTCAGAACTATGACTTCCATTGAATGCTTGGCTAACACTTTCTTTATATAGTGAAATCCAACCCAGCTAAACCAGAACCTCCAGAGCACTAGTCAACACAAGCATTGTCTTAGTCAGACTTTGTTGAACATTGTTTCACCTGTTTTATTTGTAAAGAGATATTAAAAACAGATCTGGAAAGGCATACACAGCTAAGTCAACTGTCAGCTAACAATATAGAGGAATGTATTAGTGTATAAGGCATAGAGAGTTCTAGGTCACATTTACAAAAAAATTATTCTACATATAAGGTATCTAAAAATAATCATTTGCCAACTCCTTCCAAAGCCAGTAATAAGGAATGCTGATTTCGTTTTTACTACTTGGAGATAAGGAAGAAGGGCCAAAAGTTTGTACAAGGTCCAACAAAGTATTTTTTCTAACTCATTTACAAGGGGGTCCTACAATATACTAAAACATTGATTAAAGTTTTCACGTAAGGACCTACGAGTAAGACTAAACCAGAACAGGCTTAATGCCATTTCACAGTATTGCTTCAACCATCATAGAGAGTAATGACAAACACTACACTGTTTTTCATGGTTGTTTTGATATCTACAAATAAATTTTAAAATTATTCACAAAAACACAGATATAAATTTCTGATCACTGAAAACTGAAACCACTATTGGTTGTACGTATGTACTAGGACTCACACTGCAGAGAGGCATTTTATACCACTTAAACTTAAAATTACATTCTTTTGTTCACCCAAGAAGATTCTGAAGTCAACCAACATTAATGTAAAATTCGGGGGCTGGCCCCATGGCCTAGTGGTTAAGTTCGGCGCTTCAACAGGCCAGGTTCACAGGTTGGGATCTCAGGCGCAGACCTATACCACTCATCAGCTACGCTGTGGTGGCATCCTACATATAAAAAATAGAGGAAGACTGGCACAAATGTTAGCTCAGGGCTAATCTTCTTCAGCAAAAAAAAAAAGTTCAGAATTATTTTTGCCTATCACAGAACAAGCTAGACTTTAAAATATTTTCCTAAGTGGCACTACTCAGCTATGTTCATTTTGTGATAATGCTTTGAGCTATGCACTTATGATTTCTTTTTTAATTTTTAAAATTCTGACGATTGGTAAGAGTAGCAGCTTCTACTTCACAAATACATTTTAGGGAGTATCTACTAGATATGTTTGTGTGACAGTGAAATATGTTTCTGAAAAAACTGGCCAGAGTGAGTCAATTCCTATTTATTTCATTTTTCAATACATTATTTGTTCACTGCCTCAGCGAAGAGTCACTAGGCACCTACTAAGTGCCAGGCCCTGTTCTGGGCTACTACTGGGAACAGTGGATTCTACACCTAAGCATACAAACAAGACTGAAGCAAATACTGTCAGGCGCAGCTATGCTATTGTGCTGATTTAGATGAAGCTTCCTAGATAGTTCATTAGCAAATACCCTCACTAAAAAGCACTTTCTGCTAACTGCAGTTCACGTGTGTGATTCATAAAGGGTACGTATTTCACTGATGAATTCACTCACCCATCTATCTAATCACATCACATCATTCTAATAGCTTTACTGCCACTATTCTCTGAATTTACTAGGATAGATTAAAATAGTCACCACTGTATGAACCTCCTAAAACTGAAAATTTGGAATTGAGGCCCAGAAATCAGAACAGACTAACATGTCCATTAATAAGGCTTTTCTCACCTTATTAAAAGAATATTGATATTAACATAATAGCATATTACCTTCAATAATAGACTAGAATTTGGTATTTTTAAGAGTTAGAACAGATCATTCCAAAAGTATATCATTAATAACATGGAACAATAATCTCTGGTTTAGGAAATCTTAACTTATTAAATATGCACACACACATACACATAAACATAAGAAAATATATATCCGCTAGTCCTCTCATCCCAACTGAAACGCTGCCCTGTCCCAACCACTGACAATGAGGACACACAATTCAACATACCCTCACTGCTAAAGCCCATTTGAGCTCTTCTCATTCCTTTCTAATTTAAAGTTGTCCTTTCATGACTTTTTCCATTGAGGTTGTTCACGCTGCTCCCCTGAACCTCACTTTCCACATGAAAAGCAGAGCCTGAGTTTACACATTATAACACGCCCTCACACTAAACCACGTGCTCCGTTCCTCAGCCCTGGCCAAGCACTGCCCTGGCACATCCCCACTACTAAAGCCAGGATCTAAATACACCTACTTACATTCACTTCACAACGTTAAAAATTAAGTAAGGACAGCTAAAGATGAAGATTCTCTTAAAACTCAGTATAGAAATTCAACAGTATACACTAGTATATTTTATAAGAAAATGTCACCAGAATTAAAAGTTAACACAAATATAGATAATCAAAACATCTGGAACTACGAAGAAGAAAGAAAAAGCTTCAAGAGAGGTCCCTACAGTGCTGAGGACAGCGCCTTGCACAAAGAAGGAGCTCAGTAAATGGTGTTCAATAAATGCTGGTTTAAAAACGAATAAATAACTTGATCTGATCTGGTTTAAAAATTTTTAAAGCTCAATTCTAGAAATATAGGAATTCAACACCATAAGAACAACAATAAAAGATATAATCTGCTAAATCTCTTCTTCAGTCTCAAATATTCTGATATCATACAACTTAAATTTTCGTAATCCTATTAGATTCAGGGCACTCACTTAAAATACCAGGACTACCAGCAATTATTTACATGGAAGTGGATAAAAGAGCTAAGATTTTAATTTCTGCACCTATTGACTAAAAAGAAATATTGATCAAAAAAAGCTGCTTTCAAAAATAATTTTAATAATTCAGATACAAGGGTGGTTTTAGAATGTGCACATAGTTTATTACATTAATCAACCACAAAATTTCAACAGTGTATAAACATACAACCTATACAGCAAGGGAAAGATGGTAATTAAAATCCCTCCACTTGAAGCATTTTAAGCTTATGATACGATAAAAAGCACAAAGTGAAATTTTATTTCTGTACAAAGAGAGACAACTTGCTCTAATTTTTATATTATACTTTCATATGAAAATAAATAATCCTATTCACTAATAATCTAAGAGAAATCCCTGAATTGAGACAAACGAAAAACTGTCCAGAGGAATTATCCAGACAGGCAAGATACTCCAGCAGCATCTCAAAAATAAAACATCTAAACCCACTTTCCTGGTGTCCTAATGTATGAGAAATAAATGCTTCTGTGCATTTAAGAAATTACCTAATTTCATCAAACTTTACAAAGTCTCTTAAAATCAATTCTTCTTTGACTCGCTCATGAAGTGCTGCAACAGTCTCCCAGGAACGAGCTGCAACCTTTCTAACGCTGTGTAGACAAAACCAGGGTGTTCATTCACCTGGCACTTTGCAGAGGCTCTCAAAATATCAGATGAAGAGTCTCTCTTTATAAACTGGCCAAAATAATCAACACTAATAATCTTTAAATTGGCCTATTTTGGATAATACTAGAACACTATGAATAACTTTCCATCTGAATCTCAATTATCTACTTTTTTGAGAAGTCAATTTGGCACAGATACACTGAAAATGTAACTTAGTCATAGAAATCAGTGCTACAAGGCCACAATGCAGCACAAAGAGAATTACAATGTGGTTCACACAGCACAATTCTGTAGCGCCTCCCACAATATCAGTCAGTCAACTAGAAATATTTGTTAATGTTCATATGCAAGATACTAGGAAAGAAGAACGGAGAAAGCAAACTTGATCTCTGGCCTCAAGATCCTTGTACTTTAGTTGAGGTAACAGTTTACAAAGGATGCCAGAATGTTTTATAGCGTGTCTTTTGGAACCAGATTTTCACCTTGCAGTTTATCTTTTTTAATAATCTACCCTTTAAATACTATTAGGAATTAATATTAGCTAGCAAGCTATTACTAAAACAAAGTACTAAAACACATTTCCAACTTGTCAAGCCCTTGAGAATTAGTGATCCATGCCACCCAAGTGATTTAAATTATTTTAAAAGTCTGCAAAAGCATCAACTGGGAAACCAAGAACCAAAACCACGTATTTTTAATTTTCTGACTTAAAATATTGGATCACAAAATGACCAACTTTATAAAAGGAAGAGAAGAGATTAAGAAATCAAAGTTAAAATAAATATTAGAAACCCAACTAAGCTCTTGAAAACTAGAGGCTAAGACTTCATTATTATACTTAAAGCAAAATAATTTAGCAGTCTCTTTATGTCACTTTGTCATTCTAACCCAACTCCATCATTCTTCATTTTTCTTTTTTTTCCCTTTCTCTCTTTTTTTAAACATGCCTAACATTTTAATTCTTCAGGACTGTTCAACTGTATACCTACAAAATTACTTGGAGACTTGATAGGTAGGGCTAGGGCATCTAAAAAGTTAGAGACAAAGATGAAGAAGAAAATCATAAATTAAAATTCAGCAACAAATTATTTAACCTTTGGCCATTGTTTGAATTATGGTTTTATAAATCAGTAAAATATTGATTATTAACTTGTAATACCATAAAAGTATAGCTGCCCGGCACATCTCTAAACAATTAGAGATGGGAAGAAATGGTAGGAAAACAGTACCAGCTATTTATCCATAGTACCTCAAGAGGGAAATCCTTTATGCTGACATCTACAAAAGATTGGCAGTAATGAGGATCCATGTAAATCAAACTGTCATCTACAAGGACAAAACAGAAGACAAGTAATTCAAAAAACACCTTATTATTACACTGCTTACAATCCAATTTCTATGTAGAATAGCTGAAAAAACTCTGGGAGTAACAGCTTGCCAGACTGATATTCATTGACTGAAACATAGGTTTGCACAGGACAGATTAACTTTTGCATAATCAAATATGCTTGTACAAGCAGAATTTTTATAAAGTGATGAGACTGTCATTTAATTTTTGGTGATAAAATTACTTTCACAAACACACAATTATATTCTACAGTTTGCATATGAAAAATGTATTGCCCTACTTTACCCTGACAGGAAGAACATATTGCTTGTCATTTTATCATCAACTAGCACGGCTAAAACTGGTAAAAAGTAAATATGTAAATAGCAACTGCCAGAATGTGGCAACAATGTCTTCTGAAGTTTAGTGAAACCAATAAATTATACCTTGTTTATGCAATAACAGAAATTAAACATACATTTTACAGAATCCAATTACGTTGTGGACCAAATGACAAATGAGTGGCTATGGTAGGACTGATAATTTTATAAGGTACTCATTTTGCTCCATTAATCATCCTGTTTCTAGATGATCCTCTATTAACTCTCTGACTTTTAAAAGAAAACAATGAAGAAATATGTTTTACTAAATCACTAACCTTGAAATCCAGCAAAGTAATATGACTGTTTAGGTTTGCCACCAATAATACCCACACAATATTCAAGGCTTAAAATACCCTGTCAAAAGAAATTAATTCAGATTTAGAGTCAAGAGACAAATGGTAATTATTCGAAACAATCAAATTTGCATTACCAATATTAGTAGTCCCAAAATTTTTCACCACTAGTTTTATTTTTATTACATTTGCCCACATGTTCTGAAATCTTTCTGTCTACCAAACTATCTTCCATTTTCTTTAAATCACTCAACTTTAACATGACTAAATCAAATATCCTGATCAGCATGTCACTCAACAACAATCAACAACTACTACTCGCCAGATACAGAGAGAAACAACGGCACCACATCAAGGTAATAAAACTCCCGCCACAGCCAAAACACCTGGCCTTTCAGGCAGCTGGTGCAGCCTGACGGTGTGCAAGGCTGTGCTGTCCCCAGGCTTTTTGAAATGCTAGAAACAGTTCCTAGACCTGGTTACCGCTTTCACTGAACCGTGAGTCTCAGGATCCCAAACTAAAAACTATTTTCTAATCAAGAGCATTCACTTGACAAACGTTTTATGATGCTTCATTTGGAATAAATATAAAGACTAATGAAAACAATTTAATCCCAGAAAAATAATTATTATTCTGGTATTTAAAAACATTTTATTTTACAAATCATAAAATATCAGGGATACCTCAATAAATTATTTAGTATGCCCCTCAGCATCTATTCTAAGCAGAACTCTATTTAAGCTGGGCCAAATAATTCTATACCTTTCAAAAAAGACATGTCCAGTGAAATTAATGTCTTGTCAATAGTTCCTGCATTAATTTGGGCATATATTAGAAAACACTAATAATGATAAAACGTACATTATAAAACTCCAGAAGTATTAAAAAAAAAAGTTAAACTTTTCTTCTCTTAAATGAAAGGATGTTTTGAAATCTAAAAGATATAAAAATAATATATGAACAAATGCTTTTTTTCCTTAAGTAATCAAACCATAGTTTTTTTTAACTTAATTATTTTCTTAAAAATAATATGTGGTCATTGTAAAAGAACACACACATGGGGCTGGCACAGTGGCATAGCAGTTAAGTTCGCGTGTTCCACTTCGGTGGCCAGGGTTCATAGGTTCGGATCCCAGGCACAGACCTACACATAACTCCTCAGGCCATGCTGTAGTGGCATTCCACATACAAAACAGAGGAGCACTTGCACAGATGTTAGCTCAGTGACAATCTTCCTCAAGCAAAAAGAGGAAAATTGGCAACGGATGTTAGCTCAGGGCCACTCTTCCTCGCAAAAACAGAACAAACAAATAAATTAATTAAAATAAATTAAAAACACACACAGAAAATACATTAAAAAGTAAAAATTCCCCAAAACCCCAACACTTAGAGCTCATCATTATTAAAATCTGGGGGAAAAGCTTCTTGACATGTGGGTATATTACACATATTCACATAGAGATTTACAAATACAATTTTATATATGTGGAATCATATATAAATATACACATATGTACATACACAACATATGCTGTTGTAACTTCTGTCACTCATTATGTCATTAACATTTTCTTATCAATAAATATAGATCTTATTTAATGGCTGTAAAATATTCTATTTATGAAGATAACAAAATGTCCCTTAAAATCTCCCTCGTGAATTTTTACGTTGTTTCCAGGTTGTCACTGTTATAAATAACCCTCTAAAGAAGAACCGTGTATATTTTCAGTCTTGTGAAAATATCATACAGGTTTTTTTGGAAAGGAGAACTGCAACTGAAAAAATTAAATAAAACAGAGAAGGCAAGTTCAGTTAAAATTTTAGAGCAAACTAAAAAATAAATTAGGAAGAACTTATACAAAAAATAAACACTTGATAATAAGTTATTATTCTATTGTTATTATCATTCTAGTAATAGTTCTATAATCCTATTGCCTTCCCCCTAAATAAAAATCCTGAGCACAATTAGAGAGGGCCTTCCTTTAACTTGAGGCACTCTGACCAGCTGGAACACAACGTTCCTCAGGGACCCACGAGGAAGTGAAAGTTCTAAGTTCCTCACAGCTGAGAAAAGAAAGAAAAACATATAACAAGAATCATCGCCGACTCTCCTCAGAAAAAGAATGATTCCAAGTAATGGAAGAAAGACTTGGCCCTTGGCATCTGTACTTCCTCTGCAGCAGACCAGAGCAGATTCAGCAGTAAACGTGCAGAAGCAGATCAGGAGCTGGAACGCCACTACACGTAAGGGGCTGTATCTTTGGAAACTTGAAACACTTTTCAGTTCCTAAAAAAGCGTCTTCACAGTTATCTAGTGGTCAGAATGTATTGAGCTGTATCCACAAAGCAATAAATAAGACTAAAGTAATCAGTCAAAAAGGCAAGGCCTAATTTGTCTTGCTGAAGAAAGAGAATATACTGGATTTTCCTCATTCCAGGTCATTTAAAAATATATAAATAAACAAACTGGCTGTGGTAAGGGCGGATAAAGCACCATCCCCAATTTCCTTCTCCTCACAGAATGCAGCAGGAGATGGTACCATCTCTGAAATACTGTGGAATTACCTTGATGAATAAATTTGAAAAACAGAATTGAATGGTGAATTTTAGAGAGTATGATGTAGAATAGTCTGGCAGGAAAAAATAGAACCGCTGACAAAGGAAGCAGAGGGAGGGGCCAACAAGGGGGTGGTGAGGTATAGGCAGAGGTGGACCATAAGGAGGAGGAAAAGGGGGAGAGCAGGAGGAGAAGGAGAGGAAGAAGCAAAATGCAGGAGGAAGAGGAAAATTATTTTCCTTTCAGGGCTATTAGACACTATTTTTTCACTTCTAAATGACTCTTTACATGCCCTCATTTTGGCTTTTGACCAAACCACCCCTGACCAAGCATAACACCTAGCATACAACCTACTTTACTCAACCATTTCAGTCATTTTTACCTGATAATAGAAAAATTAAAATGTCTCAATAGTCATTGCTCTCTTATTTTAGTGGACTATTAAATTAAATTTTAGGGGCCAGCCCGATAGCACAGAAGTTAAGTTCACATGTTCTGCTTCAGCAGCCCGGGGTTCAGTGGTTTGGATCCTGAGTGTGGACCTACACACCAAGTGTCAAGCCATGATGTGGAAGGCATCCCAAATATAAAGTAGAGGAAGATGGGCATGGATGTTATCTCAGGGCCAGTCTTCCTCAGCAAAAAAGAGGAGGATTGGTGGCAGATGTTAGCTCAGGGCTAACATTCCTCAAAAAAAAATAACTAATTAATTAATTAATTAAATTTTAGTGGACTAAGTATAAATTAAATTAGCAGAAGCTCAAAGAAATGTTAGAGTTTAAAAAGTCTATACTTTAGGGGGAAAAAACAAAGTTCTGGTCTCTGTTACTAGTAGGCTATCTAAACTTGAACATATCACTTAACTTCTCTCGGTCTTTTCTGTTGTATAAAGACAATCCGGTTCCTAGCTATTGTAAGGGCAAAATGAGATAAATCCATTTGAAAGTGTTACACAAATAGGAGAACTAACAATGATGTGAGAGCATCTCCTTCATCTATACTAGGTACTGAGGATCACTTTAACAGCTGACCATAGTTCATTTCACTACAATTCAGGCTCCAATGAATCACTCAAGAGCATTCGGCAGTCCTGCCATCTGATAAACACTATCAATACCACCAAATAGCAAAGCCCCCAGCCACATGAAACGTGCCTCGAAGCCATCTGCAGGCCCATCCATGAAGGATGAGGGTTTAGCTAAGGAGTCAGTCCCAAGATTGTCTCAATTTCTAATCTTCTCGTAGTGGTAGAGCAGGCAGAGGGAACCCAGTTCAGATTTGGTTACAACCTACAGAGACATGGCGACATGCCCAAAGTCCCAAAACCAACGGATTCGCTAGACGAAATGGTTCATAACTTCTCACATTCCACCAATAATTCAACTAAAGAGCCCGCACATTAGAAATCAAAATCCCACTTTTACCTAGGGGATTCATATGTTATCAACATATTATAGTATTATTAGTGATAAGTATGCCTGCAAAATTTTAGTAACTATTAAGAAAAGCCAATATACCAGCTGGAAGACTTGTATATACCATGTACTGAAAACAATTGCCCTAGATTTTTAGAATCAGCATGTTCCACCATATATACATAGGAACCACAATACGCAGTTAATACCTCATGTGGGGAACAAATTGTCACTGAATCATAAAAGACAAATCTAGACTTTATTTCAAGATTACTATATGCCATAGCACTCCATTCAAGAGGAATTCCATCTCTGGCCTTGGAAAAATAAGGCATTTTATTGAAACTATGAAAATAATATAAATACCATAATCTTAACCAGAAACTAAGTATTTCAAAAGTTATAGTTTTGTTACAACTGAATGTCTTGGTGCCCAAACAAGAAAACACATTAGACAGTTTCTTTTGGAAAAAAGAATTATGTGTTCTGAAATAGAACAGATTTTTAACTTGTTAATATGAAAAGAAAGTTGGAACCTCCCCCATCCATAATATCTTCCTCATTTCTGTCTATACACATAATCATTCTAACTACTTATTGACCTTATGGTGGCACAGGAAACAAATAAAGAGATAACGCAGCAGTAATAGAAAACTCAGTTTGTTTCAGTAATTACCTCAACATAGTTTAATGTGGGTTTTATGAATAAACACAGGTACATTCTTTTGAAAATCACAAGTAAGGATAATGGGAACTGTCGACATATTCCAGATTATGATTATTGCTGCATCTGTGTCTCCTTGATTAGCCACAAAGATAAAAAGGCTTTTCATTTTGTCATAGAACACTGTACTCTTCAACTCACACCTGATCTCATAATACTGAAATTTAAAGTCTCTAATGTCTAAATTTACAATCTACAACTAGAAAATCATCACTTACTTATACCCATCATTTAACAGAAAAAAGGCTGCAAATCTTCTGTATTTTCCATATTAGCTAGCATTGCCTTAAAATAATTTATCTCATCTTTCCTACCTTTACAAAATCTAAGTAGTCGGTGTTGGTTCTTTCTCCACCAAGTCTAACAGGAACTAGAATAATAACAGCTTTGTCATCTGCATGATCAGAAGCCATGGAAGCGCACTGTTTATCAATTACATCAGAACTGTAAACTGAGAAAAACATAATGAATATATATTAAATTTTACAAAAATGATTTTTGGAAACATTTTTACCCTAATTTCCCCCCACTGGCATATCATCTGATCTCTGACATCACTATCATCTCGAGTTAAAAAACACATCCCTCATTTATGCATTCAACAGACACTGAACAGCTACTGTATTGGGTTTCGGCTGTGAGCAAGATGGAGAAAAATCCCTGCCCTCATAGAGCATACCCTCTAATGTGGGGAAACAGACAATAAATAAGTAAAATATAAGATACGTCAGATGGTAATAGGTGCTTTGAAGAAAAACAAAGGGAGAAAGATGGATAGGAAATGCTGGGGTGGGGGGAGTGGAATTTAAAATAAGGTGGGAAGGAAGGCCTTATTAAAAACTAACATTTAAGTCAAGACATAAAGAAAGTAAGAAACCAAGAAATGCAGATATCTGGGAGAAGGGCATTGTGGGGACCAAGATCAGCAAGGGCAAATGCCTTAAGGCAGAAGCAGAGCTGGCATGTTTCAGGAACAAGCATATACACGCGTGCGCACACACACACACACACACACACCCCCTGTGTCTCTGCAGGGACTTGAGCAAGGGGAACAACAGTGGAGGTGAGGTTAGTAGATAAAGTTACAGACTGGGGGAGAATGAAGACAAATTGTGTGAGCTCTTGAGGCCATTGTAAAGACTTCAGTTTTTACTTTGAGTGAGATGGGAAGCCACTGAAGAGATTTTTAGGAAGGGAATGTCCTGATCTGACTTACCCTCCACCAGTCTGGTTCCTCTGTGGATAACAGATGGGAGAGGGCAAGGGCTGAAGCACAGAGAACAGCTAGAAAGCCCCTGTAGTAATCCAGAAGACATGATGGAAGCTTGAACAAAGGCAGTAATTGTGAAGAGAGGTAATGGTCATGGGATGGTCATGTGGAGGTGGTGGAAAGTGATCAGTTTGAAGATAAAGAACTCCCTAAAACAGTAACATCAGCAAACAGAGTAGAGAGCTGCCATTTACAAAGACAAAGAAGACTGTAGGAGGGGAAAAAATAGGAGGGGGACTGGGAGCTCCGTTTTAGATAGGTTAAGTTTGAGATATCTATTAGACATGCAAGCAGGGAGGATGAGTAGGCAGTTAAGGACATAAAAGCCCGGGTTTGCGGGGAGGCCAAGGATGGACCTATAAATTCGGGAGTTCACAGCATACAGATGGTTCTGTAAAGCCATGAGACTGGTTGAGTTCAAATCCGTGCACAAAGAAAAAGAGATGAGGTCTAAGGGCTCAGCACAGCACAGCACAGCACACCAACAATTTCAGAGATCAGGGAGACAGGAAAAGCAGCAAAGGAGGCTGTGAGGGAGCAGAAGGAAAACCGGAAGAGGAGTGTTCTGGACACGAAGTAAACCAAACATTACAAGGAGGAAGTGGTCAACTGTGTCAAATGCTGCTGTAGACTGTGTGATGTGAGGACTGAGAAGTGACCAGTGGATTCAGCAAGATTAAATTATGGATTAGAGCAGTTCCAGTAGAGTGATGGGTGTGAGAGTCTAAACAGAACAGTTCAAGAGAAAATAGGATTTGATGGAAGCAAATACAGACAAAACTTTATTTTGTTTTGCTCAACAAAAAATAGTCTTATTCAAAACTTACTTATACCCACACCTCCTCTCAGATAACCAGTCTTCTGCCCCTCCACAGTTAGCCCCAGTTCTTCCCTTTAAATTCCAAGTTCAGATGATAAACTATCAAATTTATCAAACTAGCAAAACTATCAAACAGGAGCTGCTCACCAGCTCCCCTATCTCCCATAGTCAGTCTAAACCAAAGCTACAAAAATGCAACAACAGTTCTTTGCATGTTTCAATTCTACCATCTTACTTGTTCCAAACTATTCAGTAATGGCTTCTAATTATAAACTTTAAATTCTCTCACTTTTCTGAGGCAGGGCACACATGACAATCCCCTATCTTTGACTTTTCTGAACTAATACTCACTCCAATCAAATGAGCTTTACCTTCAGAGTTCTACTTCCCTCAGAAACAAATACTGCCACAAGTAAGACACAGTAGTAACATTTCCACTGGCATATACAACAAATTCTTCTTTATCAAATGCCTCTTACCTTTCATCTTCACTCAAAGCACATTTAATAGGGCCTGCTATTTTTTGAAGTTTTCTATGCTAGATGGGTATAAAAGCAAATAAGATCCTGATTTCAAAGTGTCTGGCTCTATTGTTTTGGTGTTTTTCCTCCACTTCCAACATATGAAAGGGCTATGAAATAGTCCAATTCCATCACAAAGGCTCTCAAGAGCAGTAACTCCCAAACAAATGATTCTGATACCCTCCCTTACCCCTGCCATGTTAACAATCAGTGATCTACAGGGAGATGCAGCTAATCACAAGGTGATATTACAAGTGAATTACAAGTGCAATATTTAATAGAGGTATGTCCAAAACGTTACAGAGTACAGAAAAATAAACTAATTCTGCCTGATGGGAGTTGAAAGGCTTCACCAAAGGTGTAATCTTTGAGTGTGTTCTTAAAGAATAAGTGAGTTACCAAGAAGTGTTGTTATTAAAATAATAAGGGGCATTCTAAGCAAAGGCAACAGAAAAGGCATGGAAAAAAGATAATAAAAGTATGTCCAAGGAACGACTTGAAGGTTGATAGTACTTTGGCGCATCAGCATGGAAGACAGTGTTGGGAGGCGATGCTAGAAATGTAGGCCAGGACAAATTGTAAAGGACTTTATGTGCTTTCTACGCTAAGGTAACTTAAGACTAGAGTCAATGGTCAATCGTAGGTTTTTAAATTAAGAGACATGATCAATTTCTTTGATCAGATGGATCAAAAAGAGAAAAGAAAGATAAGGAAACCAAGTTGAAGTCTAAGTTAGAGATAAAGGTCTAATCCAAATCAATGACAACAGAGAAGAGAGAACAGATTCCAGAAGTATTTTTTTAAGCATAATTGGTAAGCTTTGGTTGACAGGCTAGATATAAGCAACGAGAGAAGAGTCAAGAATGAGTGAGTGAATGCACGTGAACATGATGCCATTGGTAAAGAGAAAACAGAAAGCAAGAAAGGAGAAGGATGGGGGAATGGTACGTTTAGTTTTAAACAAGCTGATCTGAAGTGTTTGTAGAACGTCTAGGTGGAAATATTTGGAGGGCAGCAGAAAATACAAGTTACCTCCTCTGAGCACCAGTAGCACTAGAAATGCAGTTTAAAAGTTCTAGTGAATAGTGCATAGTCCTAACTACTTAAAGCCACAGAAAATGATGCAATTACAGAGGAAGAGAATACAGAATGAGAGGAGGAGAAACTAAATGGAAAGTGAAGCCTTTAAAAACACTAATGAAGGCCGAGGGAAAAAAATTATTGATAGAATCTGGCTTCGCCTAATTCCTAACCAGACAATCCATCAAAATACACTACACTACATAACATAAACTCTCCCTTTAGGATTCTTAAACATCAACGTTAAAAATTTTAAGATGTACTTCAAATTACACACACCACTTACATAATGAGTAACTCTGTGTTCTTTAACTAACAATATGTATGACTTAAAGACCAAGCCTGACCAGTATGAATAAAAGCACAAAAGGCAATGGCCGATACGAATAAAGGCACAAAAGGCAAATTCATAAATTTATTTAATGATTAATTGTTTAAGCACATTCTTTGGCTTAATTAGAACTCGTAACACAGCAAATTTTATTTGCAAGACTTTCTACCTGAAAAACAAATATAGTACCTGCAAAACTCATATATTCATTTGGAAGTTTACAACTCTCATGTTCATATGGCTGTAATCAAGGCTATCAGCCTTTCTTTAAAAACCAATGAACCTTAACAAACAAAAAGCATGTGTATTTGGCAACCACATTTCCACACTACAAGCACTAGTCAGTTATCAGGGTAACTTCAAGCATTTTGTACATATCCTTATAGTAAACACGACTGAAGTATATTTAACTTTCCCAAAGCATTAACATATTTTATCCTGTTAATAACATTTCTGTAAAAAATAAATTTAACAACACGAGGTGGCTTATTTTGAAGGCTTTTTTATTTTATTAGGAAATTTAAGGTCTCTATTTTAACCCCAAGAAAGTTTCAAAATTAGTACAGATATTGGTTATTAAACAGAAGACCAAAAACACTAAAACAAAGCAAAATTCTGGATGACAGCTGCATCATTAACAGGTGATTTACTGAAGTACTAGTGATGTTAGCTCAGGGCCAGTCTTCCTCAGCAAAAAGAGGAGGATTGAGGGTGGATGTTAACTCAGGGCTAATCTTCCTCAAAGAAAAGAAATATTTAATAAGTGCCTACTACATGTAGGGTGCTATGTAGGAACACAAATATGCAGAACAAGGTCTCTACCTTCGTAATCATTTACAGTATAATTGGGATAAGCTAAATACATATAAAAAGTCTGACCACAAATGGTGCTGGGAAAACTAGACAGCCACATGCAAAAGAATAAAACTGAACCACTATCTTATACCATGCACTAAAATTAACTCAAAATGGATCAAAGATTTGAACATAAGACCTGAAACCACAAAACTCCTAGAAGAAAACAAAGGCAGTAAGCTCCTTGACATCAGTCTTGTTGCAAAGGCAATAAAAGCAAAAATAGACAAGTGGGACTAAATCAAACTAAAAAGCTTCTACACATCAACAAAACGAAAAGGAAACCTACAAAATAGGAGAAAATATTTACAAATCATTTACCTGATAAGGGGTTAATATCAAAAATATATAAAGAACTTCTACAACACAATGGCAAAAAAAAATCTGATTAAAAAATGAGCAGAAGATCTTGATATACATTTTTCCAGAAAAGACATACAGAAGACCAACAGGTACATGAAAAGGTGCTCAACATCGCTAATCATCAGGGAAATGCAAATCAAAACCACAATGAGCTATCACCTCACACCTGTTAGAATGGCTCTTATCAAAAAGACAAGAGAAAACAAGAGTTGGTAAGGATGTAGAGATAAGGGTACCCTTGTGCACTGCTGGTGGGAATGTAAATTAGTGCAGCCACTACGGAAAACAGCATGGAGGTTCCTCAAAAAGTTAAAAATAGAACTACCATATGATCCAGCAATTCCAATTCTGAATATATATCTGAAAAAAACAAAAATACTAACTCGAAAAGATATATGCACCCCCATGTTCACTGTAGCATTATTTACAATAGCCAAGACATGGAAGCAATCTAAATGTCCACTGATAGATAAATGGATGAAGAAAATGCATACATATTTATACACACACATACACAATGGACTGCTACTCAGCCATAACAAAGAATGAACTCTTGTCATTTGTGACAACATGGATGGACCTTGAGGGCATTATGCTACGTTGAATAAGTCAGAGAGAGAAAGAGAAATACTGTATAATCTCACTTATATGTGGAATCTAAAATAACAAGCAAGCAAAAAACCAAGCTCATGCATACAGAGAACAGACTGGTGGTTGTCACAGGTGGGCAGGTGGGAGGGGTGGCAGGGAATGAATGAAAGGAATTAAAAATACAAATTTCCAGTTATAAAATAAACCATGAGGATGTGATGCCCAGCATGGTGACTACAGTTAGTAATACTGTACTCTATGTTTGAAAGTTGCTAAGAGAATAGATCTTAAAAGTTCTTATCACAAGAAAACAAAATTTGTAACTCTGAGTGGTAATGGATGTAAACTAGACTTATTGTGGTGATCATTTTGCAATACATATAAATCAAATCATTATGTTATATACCTGGAACTAATATAATGTCATATGTCAATTATATCTAAATAAAAAGAAGTCTGACCCAATAAACAGATAACAGAAGTATACACACTCCTCACCTGTACAATCCTGTGCAACATAGATCGTTATTCCTTGTAAATCAGGGTGTCTTGCTTCTTCAACTGCTTTTCTAAGAAAATAACAAGCATCATTCTTTAAAATCCTAACTAACATTCCCAGTCAATAACTGAAGACTTAATTTAGGGGAAAGAAAGCCATCAGTTTCTGAACTTTCCTATTTGACCTATAGTGTCTGCTTTCAAAACTCTCATCCGAATGGTATAAAAATCACCTCAATTTTTTCAAAGTAAAATATTACACTAAATCACTCAAAGAACATTAAAACATAAGTTACAAAATACGTAAAAAAAATTCTTGGGGAATAACCCCACCCCCCAAAAAAGGATTTCTCTCAACCACTCATCTGGCAACATTACATGTTTTCTAGCCAGTGGTAGGACAATGCACCTCAGGGTTTGCTTCATATCAACTTTACATTACTGACCAGCAGTGAAGGACTAGACGGTTGTCCTCTGGCACACTTATGAAAGTTTTCTTCTCTTCTTTAAACAACAGCATGACTTTTTTTCCTTCATTCAAAAACCTATACGACCTGAACAAATGAATTTCCTAATTTCAAGTCTTAGAATTCTATAGGTAAAACTGCAAATTGAAAAATATTTCTAAGTGAGTAGAATGGTGCACATGATATGAAAAAAATCACCACAACAATATCCGAAAAAGAAATTATACAAATTGTGGATATATATTTTTATTCAACTGTGTCTTTTTAATTTTTTAACTTAACATACCTTTTCATGCATATTTGTATGTGTGAGTATAGGAGAGAGACCAGCAAACTATGGCCCACAAGCCAAACACAACCTGTGGCCTGTTTTTGTACAGCCTGCGAGCTAAGAATGATTTCTACAGGTTTCAAGGGTTGTTAAAAAAAGAAAAGGCAATAGAGCCCTCATATGGCCTACAAAACCTAAAATATTTACTATCAGGCCTTTTACAGAAAAAGTATTCTGATCCCTGGGGTAGAGAACATAACATCTTGAAGAGCAGAAACTATGCTTTGCTGCTTATACTTTTATAAAAGTCATACCAAGCTCAACTTGATATTATTAACAATCATTTAATAACATTAGTAACATTAACAACAATTGAAAATACTTTTTCAAGCCTAAGCATCTAGCCTATAAAAGCCTGTTAACATGCAAAAACTCTGTAATCATTTCAAATTTATGTATGATTCTAAATGGAGTAAATTTACTAGAACATACTACACTTGGATGACATATTAATGATAATGGGACACACAACAATATGGCATTTTTTTAAACTTAAGTAGTATCCAAATAAATGGCACATAAAAGCTGAGGTGAAATTGGACTTTCGGCTTTTTCCTCACTACTCTGAATGTCACAGACCCTTTACCTTTACTATGATATAATTATAATATTAACAGTCCCATACATTCACAATTCACAGAAATCTGATGTGTGCAAAGAAATGCTGAAAACATCAATTTTAGCTCTTGACATTTCATTACACTATCAGTACATTACAGCCCCCAGGTTACACTACTAAAAAAAAAAACTATAATGTTATGCATATTCCAAGGTTGAAAGAGTTGTTAGTTTTTAGAACATTTCAATAAGGTAGTCTAATGAAAACCTGGTTAGAAAGAGACCATAGGTATCTATATCTATGAGCAAAAGAAGAAAAATTTGTCAGTAGATAAATTATATGTAACTAGAGTCACAATATGTCTTGTTTTTTCCCTATTAGCAAACGAAATCTCCTTATGAACACTCTCATACAGTTAGACTTTAAAAGTTCCAACTACATATACGCACTGCAAAAGTCAGTATCTCAGAGCCTGAGGACCCAGGTCAAAAGATGAGATTTTAAAACAATTTTACCTTAAAATGTGAGCAACCACAGCTGGTCCGTACCAATCTCCAGCTTTTTTCCCAGACTTCTTTCCATATTCTATTAGTTGATGTAAACCAAAGAGGGCCAAGGGGGAATCACCAAACCAAGAGATGATTTTCCTGTGATAAATCTCATTTCGCATTTCATGATCATCAGAATATCTCCCGATTGTTTCCTTCAGAGAAATTGTTGGGGTTTTGAGTTCTCTTTCCTCTGAAAGTGATGCTTCAAATGATGCAGTAAATTTTTTTACAGTGTTGGAAGTCCATGATTCAAAGTCTGAATTTTCAATGTTCAAAGCATCAGGCCAGGTCCAAGCTATAGTAGTTCCAAAGTAAGGTGTTCAGATCTTTTAAATAGTTAACAATTCTACTAAAATAAGTAGATAGCATTTAAAGTCATATTGGTTAATAAACTAAAACAGTAAACTGAGAAACAGGTAAATTTATCGAGACAGAAAGATTAATGGTTGCATATGGGGAGGTGTTGTGAGTAACTACTTTTGAGGATGATGAAAATGTCCTAAAATTAGATTATGGTGATGGTTACACAATTCTGTAAATATACTAAAAACCAGTGAATTGTTCACTTTAAATGAATGAATTTATGCTACATAGAGTGTATCTTAATAAATCTGCTTAAAAAAACAAATAAAGGTACAAGCAGAGAAAATATGCCATTATATCGATGATGTTTACTTATGAGTGGTAATATTATTCTCTGAACTTTTCTGTAGTTTCTAAAATTTCTAAAATGGTAACATATTACATATAATCAGAAAAAAATTACGAAAACAAAAGAGAAAAAATTAGTAAACTCAGGTGCAAATCGACAATTCTGGAATATGCTTTTCTTTCTTTTCTTTTCTTTAACAATGCTGAGATGGAATAAAGACTTTTGTATTTCATTCCGAGTACTGTTTATCAGACATCCAGTCTTGACTGCCAAAGGCACAATAAACATGTTCACTAACATTCACCGTACTCACGAAAGAATAACTGCAGAAAGTGAACTTTGTTTTGATTACATGTTAAAATAGAAGTCTGACCATGGAAGTTTTAAATTTCTTTTCAAAATATTTTTTTCCTCATACAATCCTTTTAGAATAATGTAATCATTATTTAGGGAGTAATATCAATTCTCTAGGAAATGAAAAGTTAACAAATGAAGTCATTAGAGATCAAAGATCCCCCCCAAAATCAACTATAATCCACTACTTCACTGTTTTAAATAACAAGACAAAAAGTTCTTCTTCTTTGCATTATCCACATCACTCTTGAATAAACATTCTCTCTAAATGATCTCATCAATAATTCCTACAGAAAAGTTACTAAATATCTGGCCTGCATTGTAGCGAAATTGTCTAACACTGAAAAAATACGATAACACTTAGTAATAAGCAGACACGAGAGCCTAAAATGGTAAACTAAAATCCTCCTCCAAATGTACACATTATAAAAAATGGACTAACAGAAATGGTAAGAAAGGTGGCACATTAGAAAAAAATAGATACATGTAAGTTAAGTATCAATGATATTTTTGAGAGTCTTAAAGACTAAGCTTGATGACCTTATTAAGAATATGCCTAATCAGGGGCCAGCCCCGTGGCCGAGTGGTTAAGTCTGCGCACTCTGCTTCGGCGACCCAGGGTTTCGCCAGTTCAAATCCTGGGCACGGACATGGCACTGCTCATCAAGCCATGCTAAGGCAGCATCCCACATGCCACAACTAGAAGGACCCACAACTAAAATATGCAACTATGTTGGGGGGGCTTTGGGGAGAAAAAGGAAAAATAAAATCTTTAAAAAAAAAACATAAAAAAGAATATGCCTAATCAATTTAACTGATTATAATCATATTTCTAAAGATAAAAATAATTTTAAAGCATTATTGGTATGTACAAAGAAAAGAAAACAGCATAAAAATCTTTTAAGATTTAAATAATGTAAAAACATTATCTTCTCAAGTCACTGCTTTTGACCTGCCCAGGATCTACTGAACTAGAGATAATCCAGAGAGTTCATTCGAAAAGAACTAAATAATGACAAGAAAAGAAATCCAAAGGTTACTAAAAATAACTTAATTCATAGTGGTAGCCAAGAATAATAGGTATGTTTAACTTGTATTTTTGAAAGGGGCATCATGAAAATTTACATGTAAGTCATACTTGGCCCAGTTCAATAAAGATGCAGTATGCTAAATTAGTTACAACTTCAGAAGTCATCAGAGAGTCAAGAAATTAACCTCACAAAATTTTGTGCAGTTTGCAAGCTGGAGTTCAAACTAAAAAATAAATAAATAAAAAACTCAGAAAACAGAGATTTGATTTACCTCTACCAAGAAAGTGTAGTATGAGTCCTTGAGCCAAGAGCATCTGGCCAGTTCTTAACGTACAGCCCCAACCACAGTCCGTCGTCAAAGTGGAGCCTTCTATTTGAGGAAATTCTTCCCTGTAGGTCAGCCATATCCTTGAAGTAAAATCTTTACGAAATTCTTCTACATTTCCTGCAATTATATGATCTTCTATTGTACATCCTGATCTTGCAGGTAACAGTTTATTTTCATCTACAAAATAAAAATATAAACATAGTCTAAATATATGCAAAGAAATGTCAATGATGGTATTATATCTCCATTACTGTTCATAAGATATGGAGTATATCACAATCTTTCTAATCCTTTTTTTCAACTTAAATGAAGATAAATCTTATTCTTCCTAATCAGGTTGTTACGAAAATCAAGTGAGAACGAATGCTGAAATGTTTTGTACACTCAGACACCAACTAATATAAGGTATTATCAGTAATACTGTTGTTAATAATAATATCCTATATTCCAAATATAATCAACTCTTTTATGAGGGGATAATATGAAAATATCTTTTCTTTTTGCCTCATTTGGCTCAGGATATAGATATTAGTGCTCTCTAAAATGAGATTTGCAAATAAAATATCATGATTTGTCAATATATAAAAATGTGTATGATCACATAAACTAGTTCTTAAAACCAAGTAAAATGTGCACATTGTATTTATTGTCATGAATATACTTACACTCAAATTACAAAATCAAAACTCATCAGCTAGGGACTAAGAATATAAAATTCTTAAATATACAGTTATCCTTTCATGTTGAAATATAATTTTTTTTAAAAGTGTTGCCACCCACAAATATCATTTTTAAAGACTTTTCCAAATTGATCATCTCTAATAGAATTTCTATGTGAAAACTACGGTCACGGTTTGCCCAGTAATTTACGAACCACTAGTGCTCAAAATGAACTAACATTCCTTGTTTACTCCCAGAGAGGACATCTTAGTCATCTTCACACCCTCTGCATGCAGTACTGTGCCTAGCACAAGCAGATCTAATAAACGTGGGCTGGTTTGGGTGGTGGATCTCAGTTCCTAGGAGTCCGATTCCCAATGCTCTTCTGCAGGATGTTAATGCAGTCTTGTCATGCTTTTATTCCTCATCCTTCCTTCACCTACCCTTCCTCAAGCTCACTCTGAAAAAATCACAATCATCCAAAACTTTATAACATTCTGCTTAATGCAGCTAAGTTGTAGCATATAGTTTCAATGATAATAAAAAGAACCAATGCCAAGCCCCCATTATCAATGAATTTCTCCCAGTATTAGAGTTTGAAGTTAATTAGAAATAAAAATGCCTGGAAAGTGAACATGGCCTTACAAATATGTCCAAAATTTCCACTTTAGAGACATTTAAACTTGTTTGAAATTTGATACAATAGTAACTCTCATACCTTATCCTGTGGCTTGCCAAACATACAGTTCCTGATCTCCTACCTTGACAAAGTGATTAATTTCTTACCCTCTTAAGATCTAGTCTCCTTAATATTTACTCTAAACATTACTGGAAAACCGCTAGTACTAAGTGAACTTTGGTGTCTCGTTGACACTCTACTATAACACTTCCCCTGCTACTTCATCCTTGACGGACTTGCCTTTCCAAAACCTTACTTAATTCTATCTATAATGTCTTTTATCTACCACTGCCTCCCCCCAAGATTTCAAGAAGTCTAGAGAAGAAGGAAGGTGTTTATCCTGGATCTTCTGCACCTGGCAGAGTTCAGTCCATAGTAGATGTGCAATAAACATTTGTCAGGTGACTGTAAGATAAATGGAGGGGTTTTTCTATTTTGTTTTGCTTTGCTTCTGTTTTTATGCTGAGAGAGATTTGAGATCAGAGTTTTACGAAGAATGGGAATGTCTGAAAGAACCACTCTGAAGAATGAGAAAGAAAGTTGATAAAGGAAATGGAAGAGAACTGTTAGTAATACTGAGGGCTTAGTAAAGGCTGACAATTACAATCAAAACTCACAATCCAACAAGCTAATATGAGAAATAACCAGAAGTAAAACAAATTGCAAAACAAACCCTCAAAGAGTACAGCTATTGCAATTATCAGATATGGGGTAAAATATGTTATCCCATATACATATGTTGAAAAAACAGAAGGGTATTGAAAGTTGGACAAATAACAGAAAACAGACTATTAAAACTAACTAGGCACATATGAAAGAAAACCAAATGGAACTACTAGAAATGAAAATCATAACAACTGAAAACAAACTTGATATAGGATTGAACAGAAAACTGTACACAGCTCAGGAGATAATTAAGGAATCAGAAGCAAGAACTAAAGAAATTACTCACAACACACCACAGAGAGACAAAGTAATAGCAAATATGAGAAACCAAAGAATTTCAGAGACATGAAGAAAAATCTGACAGAAAGATTTATCAGAGATGCAGAAGAGAATAGGAAGAATGGGGAGCAGCTGTAATAAAGTGGCTGAAAATTTTTCACATTTTAAGAAAGATATGAATTTCCAATAGAATAAAATGAAATCCACACCAAAGACAAAGAGTTGATCTTAAAAACAACCAGAGGAAAAAAGAAAGAAACGATAGCTTCAAATCCCAGAAAGAACATCTTCTCATCCTAAAGTAAGCAAAGATCTATTCAACAGAACATCAAAAGCACTAACCATTTAAGGAGGTAAAAATGTTAACCACACTATATTAAAGTTAAAAACCATGTTCTTCAAAAGAACATTGAGTGAAAAAGTAACTAAAAGAGTAGGAGAAGATATTTCCTATGGATATATCCAAAAAAGGATTAATATCTAGAATATATAAAGAAAACCTATGGGGCTGGCCCTGTAGCCAAGTGGTTGAGTTCACGCGCTCCGCTTCAGTGGCCCAGGGTTTCACTGGTTTGGATCCTGGGCATGGACATGGCACCGCTCATCAGGCCACACTGAGGCGGCGTCCCACATGCCACAACTAGGAGGACCCACAACTAAAATATACAACTATGTACTTGGGGGATTTGGGGAGAAAAGAAGCAGAAAAGAAAAACTGGCAACAGTTGTTAGCTCAGGTGTCAATCTTAAACAAAAAGAAAACCTAGTGCAACAACATGGATGGACCTGGTGGGTATTATGCTAAGTGAAATAAGTCAGACTGAGAAAGACAAACATCATATGATTTCACTTATATGCAGAATATAAACAAACACAGGGACAAAGAAAACAGTTCAGGGGTTACCAGGGGACTGGGGTGGGGGGTGGGCACAGGGGATGAAGGGGAGCACCTATGCGGTGACAGACAAGAAATAATGCACAACTGAAATTTCACAATGATGCAAACTATTATGAATCTCAATTAAAAAATATATATACAAATTTAAAAAGACTAGAAATCAGTAAGAAAACAATAGATAATCTAACAGAAGCCATATCCAAATAGAAACGTATTCATGAAAATATGCTCAATTTCATTAGTTATCAAAGAAATGCAAATGAAAATGTGGCTCTAATAAAAAGGGGGAAATATCAAGCATTGGTGAGGTGAGAGTAAGTGGAATTCTCATACACACCTGGCAGGAACACAAATTGGCACAACTATTTTGTAAAACTATTTGGTAGTATATATACTGAGGTTGAAAATATCAATACCCTATGACCCAGCAATTACATTCCCAGGTATACATTCTGAATGAAAATCCATACACATGTTCATTTACCAAAGCACATGTCTAGAAAATTCACAGCAGGGCTCTTAACAATTGCCAAATGCACACTAAGAGTAAAATGGATAAATAAAGTGTGGCATATTCACACAACATAATACTTGTAGGAATACAAAAATATCCAGTACTCAGTCAGGTAAATAACACAATATCTGGCAATCAATCAAGGGTTACTAAGCATGCAAAGAGGCAGGAAAACACAAGCCAAAATGAGAACATTCAATCAATAAAAACTGACCCAGAAATAACACAAATGCTAGAATTAGCAAACAAGGACATTAAAATAGTTATTTTAGGGGCCAGCCCAGTGGTGCAGCGGTTAAGTGCACATGTTCCACTTCGGTGGCCTGGCATTCACAGGTTCGGATCCCAGGCGCAGATATGGCACCATTTGGCAAGCCATGCTGTGGTAGGTGTCCCACATATAAAGCAGAGGAAGATGGGCACAGATGTTAGCTCAGGGCCAGTCTTTCTCAGCAAAAAAGAGGAGGATTGGCAGCAGATGTTAGCTTAGGGCTAACTTTCCTCAAAAAAAAAAAAAAAACAGTTATTACAACTATATTACATATGTTAAAATAGATAAGTAGAAACAAGGAAGATTAAACAAAAAAAAAAGGGAACTTCTAGATATATAAACTACAATGTCCAAGATGAAAAATATACTGAATGGGGTTTATGGCAGACTAGACATTGCTGAGGAAAAGACTGAAATATTGGTGAACTTGAGGACACAGCAATAGGAACTATCCAAAATAAAACACAGAGAGGAGAAAGAATTTTTAAAAAATAAAAGAGCACCAGTGAGCTGTGGCACAATTTCATCCATGCTAATATATGTATAATGGAAGACTGAGAAGGAAGGGGAAGAGAGAGGAAAACAGAAAAAAAATATTTGAAGACAATATAGCTGAAAAAAATTTAAATTTTATGAAAACTATCAACCAACAGGTCCAAAAAAACTCAACAAAACTCAAGCACAAGAGACACGAAGAAAACTACATCAATGAACATCATAATCAAATTGTTCCAAACTAGTAATAAAGAAAAAAATCTTAAAAGCAGTCAAGGGAAAAAAAACATTATATACCAAAAAAGATAAGCATGACATCAGATTTCTCATTGAAAACAAAACAAGCAAGAAGACAGTGGGGCAACATCTTTAAAGCTACCAAAAGAATAACATCTTCAACCTAGAATTCTATACCCAGCAAAAATATCTTTCAAAAATGAAAGCTAGAGGAACGTCACCATCATGGCAGAGTGAACTTGCCCAGGACTCTCTCCCCTCCAACATACAACAAAAAGGGAAATCCCTACTCTTCAATAAATGGTTTTGGGCAAAGTGGACAGCCACATGCAAAAGAATGAAAGTAGACCATTATCTCATTCCATTCACAAAAATAAACTCAAAATGGATCAAAGACTTGAAGATAAGTCCTGAAACCATAACACTCCTGGAAGATAATATAGGTAGTACACTCTTTGACATCGAACTAACAAGGATC